GGAAGAAGAAAAAAAAAAGGATATGTTTTCAGAACTGAAAACGTGAAAATGAAAACATGTTTTTTTCATTTTCACTTTTTCAAAAAATGATAAAAACAAAACTTTTAAGCCAAACACATTTTCAGTTTGCATTTTTATTTTTTAGTCTTGAAAAACGTAAAAAATGAAAACGAAAATGTAAACAAACAGGCCCTAAAAGTCAGATTTTGATTTATACATTTTGAGTGAAAAAAATTCAGTTATAATTGCTTTTTCAGTTTTTTGCCGACCACAAAATCGGACCAAACTTGTTAAAAAATTACTTTTAGCTGGTTGAAAAGTATTACCAAATTAGCCTTAAATTAAAGAGAATTCGGAATGCTTTGTGGATTGGTTAGGTGAAATTGGACCCCTAGTAGAACAGTTTGTTTATTATTTTCGTTTACTTAATTTTGTTTTCTTAGTTTTCTAATTCAATTTAATTTATTTGTTTTGTTCTTTAATTCAGTTGTTCAAATAATTTGAGTGGATCAATTTTGATAATTAATCAAATTTTAAACACAATTTTTATGGGATGATATCTATACTCTAGCTAAGTATACTTTTATTACTTGTTGACAGAGTATACTTCCACGTTGTTTTGATTAAAAAATCTGACAATAGTTGTGAAGGGAAATGCGACCTCTTCATCAACTAGAGTCACGACGCAGGCAACCCATGGGTGGGTCGCGAACCTCCTCTGCAACCTCATTTTGAGATTTTTAAAGCTTGTTCAGTTGTCTTTTTTGGTTATAGTGATTTGAGTGTAGATATTGAGTTGAATTTGAATTATAATTTAAGTTGAAGTTATAATTTGAGTTTGTTTTTGGTTGTGTATATTTGAATTATGATTTGAGATGAGAATCTTTTTGAGTTTCTGTTTAGGTATGTCAAAACTTGAATTTGTATTTTAGATAGTATTTTAATAAAAATTCAATGATGATGGAAAATTTTTATAGGATATATGGGTATGATTTTATTCGTCTCTTCATTGTGACACATAGAAAAAAATCATATCAATCAGAATTAAAACGAAAAAGTTTTGACGTTTTTAAGAATAGAAAAAATATTGTTAATTAACTTGAGTTTGAGTTTAGGAACTTGAGTTGAAGGAGGATCTTAAGCTCAAATTTTAATCCCAAACTCAAGTTTAAACTTAAATTTTAAGTTCAAATTTTTTTAAATTTGAATGCAAAAGAACAAGTCTTAAATCTTCGGTCTATAACAACGTCATACGTCGGTCTCGTGGTAGAGGAGATTTCCTCTCTTTTATTATTTTTAATTAATTTTATCTTTTTGTTTAATGAATTTGATATAGTGCAATCAAGTGCATTTTTGTGTTTATTGGATAACAAATCATGAGCATTCAATTGTTATCCATTCAATTGTTATCCAACAGATTTAAATGTGCGTTACAGGTGGGGAAATTAGATGGCATGCGTTATTGTAGCAATTCCCACGTATAAAAGATAGTTACACCCCCATTCTATTTTAAAATTTCGAATTATTTCACAAACCCTGAATAAAAAATAAAAAATAAAAAATATAGGTAACTTCCATATCAAAAAAAGAAAACGAAGTATTTACACAAAATATCACTTTTAATCCCTTATTTAGAATATCTTTTTAATTTAACAATATATTTTTTTTATTGTTAATGAGATAATATTATTTCAGCTACTTTCTTTCTACTAAAAAAATTACATAACTGATTTTAAGCGTGGAAATGTCATTAACTCAAAATTAGTAACAGACGCTTCTCTCATATATTTGTGTTTGAGATTGGACTTGATTGAACTATAGACAAGTTATAAAAATACCTACATACAAACGCGCACACACACGCACGCGAACACGCACATATATATATATATATATAGACACATACATATATATATATATATATAGTCAAAATGGAAGGAAAAAGGTGCCGTTCTACTGAAAATTAAATAGAAATTTACATTTAGCTGAAATCAATATTGTTTCACTCATACATGACTGAATCATGTGTTGTTTCTTGCCATAAAGAGTTGTATCCATACACCTGATCCAGGACAACTCCACGATTATAAGTGAAATGATCAGCAGAATAATCGTTACTAGTTATCTGATCATGATCTCCAAAGGGGTACATGTCCCAGTGGTTAGGTGAGCACGGCACTGCTTCCATGTTAATCAATCTATTCATATCAAGATCATCAAATGAAACTGAAAAATCTTGATCGTCCATTGGCCCTAAACTGCACGCTTGACTATCTTCCCTGTCGCTGATGGATCGATCATGATCAGGCTCCATCATATATATTGAATCATGATCAAGATCTACTGCAGTACTTGAGTTGATCTCGGCTTCTAGAGATTGAATCACACTCTTCAATCTTTCCTCATCGGTCACTTCCACTTGATCATGTAATTCTTCCATCAAGGACATGAGAAAGGCACTGTCTATGTCGACCGCTTCGAATCCATCATCACCGTCGATGAAAACGCATTTTTCAGAGGTAGCTACGGAGGCCATTAGAGAAAGAAAAACAGTTTCAAGTATTGCAAAAGCAAAAGATGTGATGATATGCTTCACATAATGGTTCTCTAAGGAATTAGTATGTGCCTTTAAATAGGCATACTTTTCCTTTTCGGTTTTTTCTCCCTCTTTTTTTTTTTTCAGCATATATCAGGTGCACATGTGCATGCACCAAATATTTTTTGGAAAAAAAAAGGAAGAAAGAAAAGACAATGTACCGAAAGGACATGTCATTCATCCATATCAATAATAGATATATCGTGTAGGGTGAAAATGGACCACTTTCAATGTTCTACCATTAAACAAGTGTTTGGCTGTCGAGCTTGCTTTCCTATCATTCAAAGCAAAGAAATTTCTGTACGAAACTAACAAAGTAGCCTATGGACTATGACTTGAAAGGATCGGTATGGCCCAGAGAGAGAGTGAGAGTATTTGATTAAGATCATAAACAATGTCTCTCTTATCAAATGAGCATATCGATCAAGTAGGAATAAGGGGAAGCAACTGTTACTTTTTTTTTTTTTTTTTTTTTTTTTTGGCTAGAAAGCAACTGTGTATACTACTTGGACAGAAAGATGTGGTCCTTCACATTAGATGATAAAAAGAATTATTTGGATGCGCGAGACTACAAGTGGAAGAGGGACACACCTGATATGATAGTTTACACTACATATAT